ATATATATTTTAGTCTAGCCTTTCGAATTCTCCAACGGTTTGTAAGCAAATGATAGTATCGCGCTGTACATTTCTCTTGTCGAATGCCCTAAATGTGGTCACGATCTTGTACCGCCCATTTAAAGGCAGACCCGTGAACTGCATTAAAACGTCTATCTCGAAAGGCTCATATATCATTTTGGTCTGAAAGGCGAAGATATAGATTGTTAACCTCAAATAGATTGTTGTATAGCACATACGTACTCCGGGGTAAAAACATTGGTCCTTTATTTCTTCCCTATTGGTTATATGTTGTGTCCAATATTTATACCAGTACTGCGGCTTGTCGTATATGACGGCACAGCAGTTACGCACTGTCACACTGAATTGTGTTGGCCGCCAGATGCCACGATCGTATTGGAACATGACAGCCTTACCCTGAATAGAAATGTAATTATAGTGATGTTATACCTGTCAATTAGTGCAAATCGAAGTTACTTCAATACGATCCCCAGGTTTAATATTCCAGATTGCGGTAGTATTGCCCGATACGGTAATTATACCATTATTCCGAGAGAAGCTTATTTGAGAAGTGTCAACAAATCCATGAAGGTTCAGAGCGTTACTAGGCGCGTTATCGCAGTCTTCAAAGAACTCATCATCCTCGGGAATGAATCGGTAGATTAGACCATTCGACTGTCTTGCGAACAGAATCAGCAAGAGGACTGCGTTCACTCGAAACGCCAACTGGAAACACATCGTTTCACTATTCGCGTTTTATTTTCGAATTGATTTCACTGTTCTATGAAGTGATACTTTTATACAATAGAAATTGAATTATATAATGCAATAAGCAGCCAATAGTTAGCTACGTGTTAGTTCGTGTTATTTTCAGCTAACCTGAAAAAGGTGGTAACAGATTAGTTAGCTCGTGTTCAATCTAAATAAGGCAATATAACTGACTAAAGATTAACTGATTGTATATGTAAATGCTTTAAAATATTTGAGTTGCATACTAAAATAAGTTTTCTAAATGTGAATATACATTTAAAATATAATCCATCAAAAAACTAATCAATATGTGTTCTACTGATACATATAGATCTCGTTTATTAGTTCTATAGGATCATTAGACGACACGTGTATGCTGACATACATGTCATTAATCTATAATGGGACTTATGGAATTTTTTAGTTGGGCTCTCTCGACTAGAGCACATGCTATAAAAACCTGAACGCTTAAGATTCAATAAAGCAAAGTGAGTCGAAAAATCATACGATGTTGTTCCAACTAAAGTTTCAATACGCAATTTTCGGCGCGATTTTATTCACATGGCAATCGAAAGCCTTGAAATACCTGTTCGTCCCTGAGGAGGACCAGTTCTACAGCGAGTGCCAAAATTCAGCACATAACGTCCTTAACGTTCATGAAATGTGCGATATGTCAGAGTTAACCTTTACACGAGAAGGCGATAAACTAGCAGTTTCGGGCAATGCTTCCTTTAAGTGGGACATTCAACCTGGCGATCGTGTTTTGGTATTTTCAGTTAACATTTTTAGAGTCAAATAACATCCCTAAATGACTATTTATTCAGATGAGCTTTCAATTATTTAAGTTCGATCGTATAAGCTGGGTGCAAACACCTTTCGGTATGACCGTTCCTGACATCTGCCCCATTCTGTATGACGAGCCTCAGTATTGGTATAAGTATTGGACTCAATTTATAACCAATAAAGCAGCTGTTAAAGATAAATGCTTTTACCCCGGAGTAAATTTACAAAATGTAAATATATTTATAAATATTATTGTAAATATTTACTTTCTTCTTGCAGACTACATTTATTCACGAGCCGTTTGTTATAAACTTAATATTCGATATTACTGGACTGCCTTTACATGGACGACATAAAATTGTTGTCACAATCAGAGCCTTTAGCTGGATGAATGTGGAACGAGAATCTAGCATCTGTATCGAGCTAGTGGGAGAGTTTGAAAGGCTAAATTAGAAAAAAACATGACTATTAGTTAGAAGAGTCCGATAAGTCCACGGCATCTTGCACAGATCATCCCTGCTGGAACAGTTTAATTTGGTATCCCTATGATAACTATCCATCATTTAAAATTTTAATGATCAATTATTCGTTAGGTTCCCAATAAGAAGTCTAATAAATAAATTCAAATATAGAATAAACAAAAAAACTTTATAACAAATTTTATTATCAATTTGAAAAAAAAAAAAAAATTACCTGGAAATTTGTTAGCATCTAAAGGAAAATTTTAGAGACTACATAATAAAGATAGTCCTGTCTTTCTGTCTGTTTTTATATGAATATAATGATGTTTCATATGTCTACAGATTTATATACATACATTGCTCTCGTTTGTTGGTTTATCGCGATGAATTATATTATTTATCGTGGAGCAATTATATTTATAAATAATTAGAACAGCGCATGCTTTTAACATTCATTTTAATTTGTATATTTAACAGAGGCCTGTTAGATTTAATTACTTAATTATAGGTCGTCTCATATCAGAACATCCTCTTTAAAATTTGTACAGCACAATCAAAAGAAATAAGTAAACAAGAATAGTTCTACTATATTAATCTTAAATGGATTTCTGAGAACAAGGAAACTTCAGAAAAACTCGAAAAAAAAACATTTTTCGGAAATTTAAATGTTTTTTATCTTCATTTAATTTAATTTATTTCAATATGTAATTAAATATAAATAAATAAACATCAATCACTTGCTTTCTTTTGGAAACAAAAATAATTTTGAACGTGAATATATATTATATTAAAGCTTAAATTTAATAGTTTTTTTTTTAACAATATACCTAACATGATTTAAGGTAAATTTTCTTTAAATACCTCAAATTCATCTGTATTGATATCATATAGCTAAACTTGCTCTAGGGCTTTCAAGTTTGCTTTAATAAATAATATTTTGGAAACATTTTCAGGACAGAGACCCACTTGCATATCACTATATAGACTCTTAGATATATCGAAAATACGCTCGCTAGCAATGCTGGCAGCTGGGGTGGATAGATAGCGCCTAACGATTGGAAACAAAGCGCTGTATTTATTATTGGATCGCCACCAAGTGATTGGATCGCTTTGTCGTTCGACCCTTGGCTCAGAATTGTATAAATAYAATAGATTTTTCAGTTGCGATTGCGATTGCGAATGCAATGATGTAGATGCCTCCGTACTCGTGTTGGATAATGTGAGCATATTATCAAGAAAGGAATCGATTTTCGATTCGTTTTTAACATTCGAGGCAACTTTTGCGATCTTCATTGGCGGCTGCCATTGCTGGATGTGAGTTCGGCAAAGCTGTGCCAATAATTCCTCAGTCACCAGCTGCGCTTCCTGATGGGTAAAAAATGCTTGTTTGTAACGCGGATCCAAATACGTGGCCATCAGGTACTTGATATCCGTAGTAATTGTCGAGCATCTCGATTCCAGCTCCTCGAGCAGCTTTCGCGCAAACGAGCAAATGGTCTGTAAGAGAATCGGAATTACAATTTTTTTTACATTCCTTCTAAGTATTTCACTTAACCACTGAAGACACAAAATTGTGGACATCTGTCCGAAGGGAGTCCCGTAGTGCGGCTATTAGAGGTATGACTGAGGAGGCTGTCGCAGAGGTTCCACTCAAAATATTGACAATTTCCTCAATCGGCTGGATGACTCGTTGACCCAAATCAATATCCAGCCACTCATCTGGATAAATCTTTACCATATTATATTCCTCGGCGTAGAGTGAGAGAGCATCTTTAAGCTTGAGCATGCGGCTTTTCAAACGAAAGATCGCGTTCCAGTCCAAGTGGCTGTGGTTATGGTTGTGTTCCATCAATTGTAATGGCTCGCGATTCAATTGCTTTTCATGAATATATTTCAAATGATTGTATGCTATGGGAGATTGCTCAAAATGTTTCGCAATTTGAAGGCATTTGGCATCTAGTTGCTTAAGATGCTCATTTGATTCGAGCGCATATTTTACACAAAGCTTAAGTAGGTGAACATTGCACTCTACTATAGAGCCAGGTGTGCAGGTGCCCTCATCTCTGATAATGCAGTTAATCTTCTCCTTGGGTAGTTGAAGCTCCTGACAAACATTTGAAATTATGATACGAATGCGACAAGCGACATCTTCTGTGTGCCGTCCATCTAGAGCTTCGCATTTCAAGTGGAACTGCTTATACTGGAAGTCATTGGAAATTCCGTGACAACTTAAGCTAAGCAAGCCTTGGCCACCAGTTCGCCACGAAATGCTTGTGGCCAGTGAAACAGAATCTAACATGACGAGTTGTTGTTTCAGTTGCGTTTGCATCCGCCGATATATGTCTTGACATAGCATATTTTCATAATAACTAACAGTATTAATTACATATCGAGGCTGTAGAACTTTAATAAAGTTCACAAAGCCAACGCTGTTTATGAAGCTAAAGGAGTAATCATGCTGGGCTATCATTAAAGCCAATTTCTCATCGCTCGCATACGTTTCGTCTGAGTCGCTTACTCTTTGAACTTCCAATGGATCAGCATCCTGGAAAGAAAAAAATTTGAAATTGTTAGAGTGAACTCTTTCGAAAAGTGTATTCTTTTTTTTACGTGTAATTGCAGGTTCGTGTGAACGGATGCGTTATCATTTATTTCCGTTTTCACCATGTACTTGATGTCGTTTTCGGATAACGTTAGAAATTCGGCAGGATGTTTGCTCTTCAGATGATTTCGGAGACATGTTGTGCCACGACCCTTGCGTGAATAATTTTTGTGGCACAGACAACAAATTGCGACAGTATCGCTTTCTTTATAGAAAAAGTTCCAAACTCGGCTCTTTTTGCTCATTATTTCTATTGCGGATACTCCGCTTTACATCCGTTTCATCGCAGCCCTATAACACAACTTACGATAACACAAGCAACGATTACGATAACTTCTCGATTTCATGCAATTAGAGTTGTCATTATTGATGTAGACTACTATCGAATTTGTTCCATCAATAATATTGTAATTTGGCGCGCACGCGACTCGGCAATAACAATTATTTGTTTATATGCGCAATGCCTTGCAACATGGAATTACCACGCACTCCAGAAGAACTGATAGCACAAGACATTGCAAGCTGGAAAGAATTACTCAGTGATTCTACGAAATGGCACTCTATTCCGCTGTTAAATCACACACCTTTGCACAAATTGAAGGATCAGGGCTTGGTACGTTTTCGTGGCATGGTGCAGGACATGATGGATCCAGAAATTTACTTGGAACGCTACGAGGTAAAATTAGGCGATGGCAGTGCCCGCCTACAGCCAGGCAAATATCGCGACTGTCTGCGACTAGGCAAAGATGAACAACTGGATTACAATGCCGAGAACAATGTGCATGGCGAGCGACGTACACTGTTTGTGGTCTCAGTGCCTGGTCTCAATGACTGGGCTAAGGAGCACGAGAAGCAGTGTAACCCACAGTTTGATCAGTTGCCAAGTGTTGGAAGTGGTGTTAAGCGTGCGTTGGATGATCAAGAAGATATGGAAGTGGACAAAGCAGATGAGTCTAACGCTATTAGCTTAGCCAAAAAGCAATGTGTGAGTGCTGAAAGGCAAACAGAAACAAATGGTTGTAGTTCCACAGTGCTTGGCCCTGATTACCTAATCAATTCGCCGCTGCCCAGTCGTCCAAGCATGGCCTGTATGGTGAAGGTCTATGAGGACTTTGATAAATATACCTTAAACTCGCTGATGGATTTCGTCGGCTTTCTATCTGTCGATCCAGCATTGGACGCGTCCACGCTGGACGTTGAGGCTATGAAGGATGTGGAAAGCCTAGCCGAGCTGCAGGCACAAAATCCATCGCCGTTTCTAATACCGCGCCTGCATGCCTTTGCCGTCAAGTCTTTGTGTCATGCCAATCCGTTGCTGGACGAGAGCTTGCAGCAACCCCCTGCGGTTGAGGCGCTACATGCACCACAATCTTTGGAGACCATACACAAGGATTTGCGCATGCTGCTCAAACTTTGCCTGTTTGACGACGAGCTTGCTGCCGAGTATCTACTATGCCATCTAATTTCTACAGTCTACAGCCGATCTGAGATGCAGAGCATTGGCAAATTCACACTAAACATCTGCAATCTGCCCAAAGAGTGTCTGCAGCAGTATACAACGAAGCTATATGAGGTGCTCGAGCTGTTGCTACCTGCTAGCCACTATCTGCCAATGACACTGGAAACCATGAACACGTCAGCCTTTACGCCAAAGTAGGTACAACTTACATTTCATCCGGATGGATAAGAGTAAACCATTTACGTTCCACAGAAAGGACTATGAGACGAACAAGCTGGTCTCTGGACTGTTGCAACTGGCGCCCCATACGCATTTGGTGCTGGACGAGACGCGCATGCAGCAAGGCAAGCTGGAGGCGAATGGTGTGCATGCCGTACAGCATCTAGCGAACCTCATTAACAATCAGCAGCTCAAGTGCGACTTTCAGTATTATCAAATCGATTACAATGTGGATATTCCGGTACTGGTGCTCAGCGAGGGACGTAGCATGCTGCCGGTATGGCATTGCCATAAGTACTCTCTGCATATCTCTAATATGCGTCTTTTATTTGCAGAGCGACTTTGTGCTGCCCCTTAAGGCGGATGAAAAGTCTATTCAGATATGGGAGGAATCTCTAAAAGCTGCTTTGCACTATTTGCAGCCAGGACGTTTGCAGCAGTTTCGTAACTATTTGACCATGTCGCGGATTGGCCAGTTCAGCGTTAGCGAGGAGCACACGGAAATGATACAGCAGGAATTTGTTGATATGCGAAAGGCGAATGTGAAGAGCAATGCCGATGATCTACACTGTCTATTGGTCCTATCACGTCTACTGGGCATTGCGCGCGGTCATGTGACGCTAGATAAGGAAACCTGGCACCTAGCCACAGAGTTTGAGTCGAAGCGCCGCCAGCGATTGCAAGCACTGCCCAAATCCAGCGCTTCTATGCGCAATTAAATTGAAGATCAATCGTTATTTTAAGTATAACTTTTAAAAAACGTTTTTTATTAGCTGCCAGACTTTTCGGTTTTTTGAAACTGTTTTAAATTGGTCAATCGATCCTGTCTTAACTTCTGGAAAGCACGAAACTTCTTGCGACCATTTATATAGCACAACGACTCTTCATACGTAATGGGCAGCACCTCTTGGACATTTCTCTCAGCCTTGTAGATGAGAAACAACGCATTTGTAGTCAAATGCGACGAACTGTTCTCTTGCAAGACTTCCACAATTGTCAACAACTGAATATACTTCTTATATGTGTAGACCACGTAGGCCGTTAATTTGATAAACGAGTTCACCTTCAGTGGACTATAGAATGCCACATCCGAGATGCACTCGATCAGTGGTCGGCCGCCAGCATAGAGGCAGGCGGTAATCGAACTGATCTCCACAGCGGTCCTCATTACGAATCCCCCAAAAATATGATTGTGCAAGTTGCGATTGTCAGGGAAGGCACGCAGCAAGGTAGTCTGATTCGATTCAGACATCCATCTGCAATTGGCTGGCAATTCAAGATTGTACATATCATTAGCATTTGTGCCCTGGGTACGCTTGAAGATCTCGAACATTAGCTTCTCGTCTTCCTTGGTGGGTCGGATGTAAAGGGCATTCTTTGAGTGTTTCTGTTGGCGTGCCTCAGACCTCTTAACCGATTCATCGTAGCACGCCTTCTCCTTCTCGTTGGCCGGAGCTAGTGGATTGATTGGTGCCGCTGCTGTATTCGTTGCATTGCGTGCGACCACCACAAAGATGGCTTTGAGGATGGTTCGAAAGTTTTGCTGCATGTAAATGGTTATTTCCATGGAAGTCATGCCAGTCCACGAGACGTGGCCGCACAAGGATATGTCTTCAGATGCCGAGATCTTATTGCTGTTCGAAAATTCCACGCTCTCGACCAGCACCGTGACAAATATATAGGGCAACGGTATGCCCTTAGGCAAAGTCGGCACACTTGTATGACGATGACAGATCCACACTAAGAGCCTGGCATATGTAAGCGTCGTATAGTTGTTGGCAGCATATCTATTGACTTACCCGCAAACAAGTCCAACTCCTCCATCAGTCGTCCCATACGCACACGACGCAAGTGGTTGACATAGCGCTCCCGATACGAACTCGAACTCAGTGGCAATATCGCCGTTGTGAAAGATTCAGTCATGCTACGACTGGGAAGATCCTCACGCTTTGGTGTATACTTCAGCAGATTTGCCCGACACTTGGGTATCGTGTAATAGCCCGGCTCCAAGCCAATTTGTTTCCGAATATTCTTACTCACTACGGAACGAGAGTGCTAAACACGGAATCAAAACTTTTGGTCTTATTTACCATCTGACATTGTGCCCGAACAGTGACCAGACTGAAAGGCATCAAATTCACATGTGTCATGCCAATGGCACCGAGCAACAGAGTGATGTAGGTTCTGCGAGCAGACAACAAGACGCGTTTTACATCGAGATCGCAGGAAGCGGGACGCAGTTAACACAGATCTTGGGCTTCTTAACAACCGGACCATCCTAATCGATCATTCAAATAAATTGATTCCAATTTTGAATAATATTCCAAATACGACTTTAATTTTTGTTGGCATATTTAATTTAAATATTGTTATGGGAAAAATAAAAAGAAAATGGTATTTAGGATAAAAATTTTTAGGTAAAGAACAATTGATGTATTTGTGTTTTTTTAAATAAATCAAATACAGAAATCAATAACTTGCATAATTTTTGTGAAGCTTGAGAATTTTTAATAATCACCTAAATGTTTCTATGCTGTAAGAAAACCAATATTGTATTTGTAAACCTGGTCTCTAATATGGATTTTCATACATGTATGAATAGAAAAGTAAATTCCCACATTGAAGTACACTAGATTAATAAACAAGCAAAAATAAATTTAAAAATGATAACGAAATTGAGGACCATATCTTGTGACATACGAGACAGTGTAAAAAAGACCGTCCATATTAATTTAAATTTTCTTCTTTAGTTTACGTGATGCTTAATTGAAAATATTAGAGAGAAAATAGTTTATTTTTAATTTGTTGACTCCATACGTTTGCGACTATGATATACCCTATACACTTATAGTCCAAATAAATAAATATATGTAGTTAGATATATAACTCAATTGATACAATGATAGTGCGTTCCAACACAATCATTTAAGTTTAAATTACAACAATAACATAATATTTTAGTTTGATAATGCTCTAATATTAACCTCTTCCAGTCGTGAATTCAAACGCCTTGTAATCATGTGTGAGCAGATTTTGAGGGTATGAAAGTGCGATATCATCGTTATGTGCCTTTTTTGCTTATTTAAAAGCTTGGCACAATTATGATCCACACTTGCATTCCACAAACATACAAGTTTATAAGGCTTGTCAGCTACGAATTGCTTTTAGTCGAATCGCTCGAGTTGATGCGTTCACGTATGTAACAAAATGTCGAAGATCGTTCTTTACGGTATTGATATGTCGCCGCCGGTGCGGGCTTGTCTAGTAACACTCAAAGCACTGGAGGTGCCCTTCGAATATAAGGTGATCAATTTGGGAACAGGCGAGAATCGTAGTCCGGAATTTTTGAAGATGAATCCACAAGGTACGGTACCCGTGTTGGATGATAATGGAATAATCGTAACGGACTCACATGCCATATGCATATATCTGTGCGAGAAGTATGCTAAGACCGATGCACTGTATCCTAAGGAACTGTTGAAACGCACAGAAGTCAATCAGCGCTTGTTCTTCGATGCCAGCGTCATCTACAAGGCATTGTGGAATGTGAGCAGCGTGTTTTGGATAAGGGGCATCACTGAGGTGACCAAGGAACGGACTGACAACGTTCACGGGGCTCTTCGCTTGACAGAGACACTGCTGGAGAAGCCATACATCGCTGGCGATACAGTGACCATCGCTGATTTCTGCTGTGCTGCCACTGTCTCATCCGTGCCTGCAGTTTTTGATATTGATGAACAGAAATATCCGAGGATTACCGCTTGGCTGGCACGTCTTAGCGAGCTGCCATATTTTGAGAAATACAATAATATTGGAGCCAAGGAGTATTCAACATTCATGAGAAGCCAGTGGACCAAAGTGGAGCTCTAAATTTATTATAGACTACGAATATGGGAAGAACTATTATTTTCTATTAATAACAAATTATATATATGTATAATATTTACTAACGATTCACACATTTTGTACATTCAAAAAGTAAACTATATATTGGTTTATTCATTTAAGTTATAAAGCTATACAATAAATAAACCTGGCCAAAATTTATATTTGTTTGTAGTTTATTGCAATGCTGCTTCATTACTGAGGTGCATACCGCGCATAAGCATTTATTTTTTTTTTTTTTCGATATACATAAAAAGTATCGGTCGCGGAGCTAATCGATTTTTCAGTGGTAGCGAAAGATAGATAAACAAAATGAGTAAAAATAACAAAGTGGTTTGGACCGATGAAATTCTGCTTTATATTATAAAACATGTGAAAGCAGCGCCATTCGTTTGGGATCATTCCCATCCACAGTTCGCATATAAATCAAAAAAGGCGAAATTCTGGTCGCTTCTTGCAGACAAAGTTAACTCCTATGGTGGATTTTCTTCGACCACACCAATTACTAAAGGTAAAATAGATACATACATATATTGTTGCAATCATATTAAAGTAAAATTTGCCTGATTATAGAAGCTTTACAAAAGAAATGGACAAATATGAAAACATACTATTTGTTCGAGGAAAGCAAATCGAGACGGATCGGTGCAGATGCAGAAAACTTCAATACCACCTGGAAATTTAGACTAACACTATCATTCTTGAGTTCTGCTCTGGACACACCAGCTCGAGCGCAGCAAAACTCATCGGCAGTGAGCACATGTAGGACAGCACTACCTCCGACTGCAAGCGATAGTAGTTTTGATCTTTCTGAAGATGATCCACTTGCCACACAGGAATGCCAGCCACCAATTACCATAAAAACGGAAGAGCCATTTGTTGAAGATTCACCACCATTAAATGAGCCTGATAATGAAGAGGAAACCATTTTGCCATCCGCTCGGAAAAGACCAAAAGAGTCGCCAATCTTAGAAGTGCGAACCCCTAGAAAAGCACACAAATCGTATTTCTATCATTATGGTATGACGATTGCCCAAGATCTTGATCAATTGGATGAGGATTATAAAATAGATGCAAAGCTGGAAATTATGCAAATTATTGCCAAATATAAGAGAGAACAGTACTTAAATCAAACTCATAGCTAAGAAAAAAAAATTAAAAAAAAAAAAAATTTGTGAATTTGGGTTTTTTATTGATCAGTTTCGTCTCAGATTGTCTTTTGTTGAGAATGCTGACACAAAACATAAAAGAATTTGCCAACCACAACAAAAGAGAAAAATAATCGTAAAGTTTAACAGCACTGAAAATCGGTTACAAGACTTCAAAATCGATAGCTATCGATAGCTACACAAACAGCTGTGATTAACAGCCATGCAAGCAGCAGCTTTCTAAGGAAACTACCTTCTCTGCACAGTGGAGTGTAATTGTTCTTTGTATAAGAGCGTATAAGAGGCGAGCATAATGTCAAATAAAAATTTGTTGTGACAATTTTAATAGTGTAAAATATTTTTTTATGTAACAAAAAGTTAAACGAAAAAAAAAAAAAAGACAAAGACGGAGAAAACAGATAGAACTCCCCGCAAAGTGCCTGTGTGCACAAACGCAAGCCGCAATAGCTGTGCGCCAAATCAATTTACGGCGCACACAAACGTAACGTGAAAATCGATTTAAGTTTTTGTCTGCTGTTGCCAGCAGTCTGCTATGCACACTTAATGTACAATTGTACAATTAATTTCATTCTACCTTCGCCACACAGCAAGTGTAAAATGCACGCTTACTCAGGCCAGGCGAGGCCAACATTTTATCGCCGCTGCTGCAACGGCAGCTGGAATAGCTGGGCGCTGCGTCTGCTTACGCTGTGGGTCCTCATCACTGGCTGCACTGCAGCCGATACGGATATAACGCTCGATGCCAAGGCGACGCTCAATCATCGCATTCAAAGTCTCGATTTGCTGGTATTCGTATTTTTGCTAGCCTTAACTGTATTAACCATTTGGCTATTCAAACATCATCGCGTTTCGTGGCTACATGAGACTGGATTGGCTGTTATTTATGGTAAGTAAGCGCAACGTTAGCTATCTTGGCTTTGGGTAACCCACATACTCACAAACACATGCTAATTATTGGTTTATATTATTAAATATTATTATCGTACATTGTTTTGGTAATTTCATCATCAATTCTCTATGCTCTTCCTCTTCGATCAGTGTCATCTGCTGCTTTCATTGCCGTCTCTTTGTCCCTCTATCATTGGCAATATGCTCCGCAAATAAATAAATATATATATGTATCTTTTGATATAAATATATACATATACGCGTATATATATACATATATAATATTTAAATACGCAATTACGTATTTTTACACTATTTGTGCGATTCCTAAACTAAAACATACACAAAAATCCAAATTGGCTTTTGCAATCGGAACAGCAAAGCTTTTAAGTCCCACATTTTAATCACATATTTCGTTGATATACGAACCTGTTATTTAAAACCCTATTTACACATGACTACGCTAAAATTCTTGTATGTACTATCTCATTTTTTCCCTTGAATTCTTCTACTTGAGCTCCGAAATTTGCGATTCAGCAACATGTTTGCCATTATAAAATGGGCATGCTTTGATTACAGTGCCCATTCGCTAACGTCAGCTAATCAAATCAGTTTTTACACAATTAATGGGGCAATCAAATTGTAAATCCGATTTTATAGTATCATTTTATTTTGAGTGCATAATATTTTGTACTCTGCACGTTTATATTGATTTAAAATTATGAAGCTAATTATATACATATGTATATACTTTTTTCTTTGTTTTGTTATTGTTATTTAGTATTCTTGGTAATGATTGAACCACTGAAGTGCTTTGATTCGGCATTTCTCTGTTTAGAATAATTCCATTTATTATATTCGCTCTTTTGATCCTGCTCATGAATTTAAAAACACATGCTATTTAATGTCATATTCAATAATCAACAGAGCTCAAGTCTTGGTCTTTTATTATATCGAATCGCAACTGTGTGTGTGTTTTTTTTTTTTTTTTTAATACAATCGCATTTGTTGTTTTGCTTTGGGTTTTCCCCAAACGATTTTGCGTTTTGCATTTCTTTACCGTTTTTTTTATTATTATTATTTTTTTTAGTTTGCTATCGGTACCAGGGGGAATTGAAAACAGGAATATACGTTATACAGAAGTGTATAGTTACATTAGAACTAATCCGACAGCTTACTGTGCACGTGATTTATATACATATATTATTCTTGCTAATTCTTTATGTATATTCATGGAACAGGAGGGTTGTCTGGTCTGTCCAACCCCTTCATGTGATAAACATATTTATTGAAATACTTAGAATGAGTGAAGTTGTCAAAGTCTGTCTGGCTATATCTGCCTATCTGTCAGCCCGTCTGTATAGTTGTATTAATATATAATTCTAAGTAACAATGAAAATCGATATGGTTATTTTTTTCGATGAGGATGCACCTCTAGAACTCTGTATACCAAAATTTCTAAGTTTTGCCCTCGATAATCAAACAGCGAAAAAGTTGTATTATTCCTATTTCAGGAAATAATATCTAATACCACGACAATCTTGCACTCTCTTACATGTTTTTCTTTTTAATACAATGATAATAATTAAATATGCTAATTAGTCAGTCCTATCTGAACACAGTCATAATATTAAATTTGATTAACAATGAAATACTATCATCATAAAAAAATAAACCCAATTCAGATAAGACTCAAGACTTTTTGGCAGAACTGATAAGTGTGCTGTGACTGATAAGCGAGCTCTGACTGTGACTGTGCAATGAGTCAACAACTTGAGAGTATTTGTTATATATGTATACTTGTTCTACACGATCTTATCAACATACATATGTGCCCATGTAGACACAATTCAGCCGGCAGCTGCTCCGCATTCATTAGTAGCATTGTCAAAGCTAGCTTTGTGATAGGTCAGGCAATAATAAAATGAGCTTACGCCTAAACCAGCAAGAAACCTCTTTGAATCGACTATGATTGCCTTTTTGAGACTCGTTTCATTTAAATACTTCAAATGCTTTTAATATACAAATTATTACTTTGAAGAACAGCAGATAGCGGCCTTTATATATTTGCCCCTGTTCAAGGTCTGACTCATATGACTCATGTATTTATTTCCCAAAGGACCTATATATAAGCTTGAAAATGTATATGATTGGTCAGAACCCCCAGGTTTTGAATCACAAAAATATTGTTCCCAAAGGATTTATATATCAGCTATATAATAAAGTTCCCAAAGGACCTATATGTATTATTATTCCACTCAAGTTTGTTCTGTCTTGTATAAAACATCTTTTCCTTATTTAATTGTATTTTATTATTAATATTATCAGCTAGAATTTCCAGCATTTTATTCATACTAAATACATCATGTACTAAACTGTTATTGCATTTTCATTCAATTGCAGGCTTAATTGTGGGCGCCATCATACGATATGCGGGCACAAACACCACCCTGGTGCACATGCAGGTGGAGCCGCAGGGCGTACCCACCTATAATGACAAATTGCCACCGGACACACTGTGGTTCAAGGTGCGTGGCGCAGCTCAACACGTTTGCTTATGCAATTAGAGACTATTGTCATTTAATTTGTTTAATTTGTTTCTGTTTCTGTTTCTGTTCAGTATCCGGTTAATCAAACGAATTCCACAAAGCTGCCCGAGGGTGTGAAGACATATGCGTACGTGTTCCGTGGACAGGTGTACGATATCGAGGAGAACGAAATCGATTTGAAGGCCACATTCGATCCGGAGGTCTTCTTCAATATTATATTGCCGCCCATTATATTTTACGCTGGCTACAGCCTAAAGAAGGTATGTATGTGGATATGTGTAATGTAATATGTAATAATATGTATGTAATGTGATCGTAATTGCATTTGCAGAAATACTTCTTTCGCAACTTGGGCGCAATTCTCACGTTTGCCATTGTGGGCACCACCTTATCGGCGTTCCTAATCGGTGGCCTGATGTACGGCTGTGTGAAACTGATGCCAAAGTACTTGAGCAGCAGTTTCACATTTCTGGACACGCTGTATTTTGGGGCGCTGATATCGCCCACAGATCCGCTCACCATACTGGCCATATTCAACGATCTCCATGTCGATGTTAATCTCTATGCGCTTGTATTGGGCGAATCTGTGTTGAACGATGCCGTTGCCATCGTGCTGAGCGGGTGAGTTTCATCTAATCATCAGATATAATATATCTTACATTTATATAAGAGAAACGTTTCTAGTATACTATAGATTGAGGCAATTGCAGTCAATTCAGAAGAAGTACACACTTCAATCATATTGTATATATTTAAACATTTTTAAAACCCCTATAAACTGCTGACACATTGTAAGCTATATGCATATTCGAGTAATATGGAAACATGACGAATTGTTAAATATCTCGCAGTTTTATAAATATATTATTATCGTCAATTAAGAAGCTGGAAAGATAACAGGAATTTCTATATTATAAGTTATATGTATTTCAATGGAAATTGCTGGGCAATTTTTGCATATTTCTTTTTAAGTGTAATGTTTTGCTGGAAATTCCTTGAATGAAAATATGAAAACAGCTTAGCTTATAAGTTTCCTATATCAGCTTACTGACTTATTCGAAATGATATTATTAATTACCGAATGCTTACAGGGCCATTCAGAACTACGGCGAGCATTATTCGAATACGGGAGAATTCGAGACTACGGCATTTCTGCGCTCGCTGAGTGACTTCTTCTCTATCTTCTTCTTGTCTCTGATGATTGGCGCTATGATGGGCTGTTTTACGGCATTGATATCCTTTTTTCAACAAACAAAAAACAAACCATATATATTATTGATTTTTCAGTTGTTGTTAGCATAAGAATTGTATCCTTAACTCCTGCCACACTTGACCAAGTTTACGCGTGTTCGTGACTTTCCTCTGTTGGAGTCGGCGCTGTTTGTGCTCATGAGCTATAGCACATTTCTGTTGGCCGAGGCAACGGAGCTGACCGGCGTGGTGGCTGTATTGTTTTGCGGCATTTGCCAGGCGCATTACACGTACAACAATTTGTCGGAGGACTCGCGACAGCGCACCAAACAGATCTTTGAGCTGCTCAACTTTCTGGCAGAGAACTTTATATTCTCCTACATTGGCGTCTCGATGTTCACCTTTCCTAAGCATCATTTCGATGCAGGCTTCATAATAACAGCTTTCGTGAGTGATATAAATAGGTGTAAATAAGATTTTCATAAATAACTTGTATTTCTCGTTTAGATCTGCGCTGCTCTGGGACGTGCTGTCAATGTCTATCCTTTATCCTGGCTATTGAACATTAAGCGCAAACCAAAAATCTCATCGAATTTCCAACACATGCTTTTCTTTGCTGGTAATTATGAGCAATACAATTAGAATTTTTATATGTTCATTAAAATCCATTTTATTTAGGTTTACGAGGCGCTATGTCCTTTGCCTTGGCCATTAGGAACACCGTGTCCGATGCTCGGCAAACCATGCTAACAGCCACATCGCTGATTGTCATATTTACGGTCATCATTCAGGGCGGTGCGGCTAACTTCTTCCTCACCTGGTTGAAGATACCGTGAGTTGAGAATGCAACCCGATTAAATTTATCTTAATTAGAAATTCCTATTTGCAGCGTTGGCGTCGACGAGGAGACTGAGCAGCTAAATAATTATCAGGTACACAGTGTGAGTATCAATCAGTTCATTCGGTTCATTTTCATTTGTTTCTTTACGCCAAATGCAACTACATTTATTTTGGAAATTTTATTTTGGTAAAAACATAAAGAAAGCACGGCTAAATAAACTATATATAGATTATAAAGCTAGTTCTATATGGCAATCGTTGCTTACTATGCTCTCTTCAGTTAAGTTCACTAAATATTTTAAGCAAACACTATTCGAAGTTGCATTCTGACTGTAATTGTATTTAAGCTTAGCAGTATTTCAATTTTTTATTATAATATTTAAATTAAAAACTGTTTAAATTGGGAATTTAAAAAGTCCAACTATGGGTAAACTATATTATAGTATTGTATTTATATAAACAAAAGCTTTTAGGTTGAGATTTAGTTTTTTTTTATTTTATTTAAAATGCTTTTATTTATTTTATTTATTTATTGAAAATTGCCTTCATTCTATCTATCTATCTATCTAAAAATATGATATGATGATATACAAAAAATGTAAATTTAAAAAATATAAAAGGAAGATTTAGTTAAGTTATATTTCGGCTCATATTAAAAAAGAAAAGTAACAATGTATATGAAATCGTACCTACTTTAATATTATACGGTATTTGCCAACTGAGAAAGGCCAAGTTGTGCTTATAATGCACTTCTCATTCTCTGCTTTTAATCATTATACATTTGACAACATATTCTCTAACTTGTTTATTTTGTACAATTCTGCGCAATTCATGCCATTTTGCATCTATCAAATAACAAAGGTTTACAATTCCATGGACAATTCACATTCGGCTCCGGTACGTTGACTAACAAATCCATTCAATTGCAATTTTCTGTGTGCTTCCCACTCGTCCCTTGTCCCTGTGCCACACGTGCATAATCCAATACACACAAACAAACACTACAGACATAATACATTGATTGAGTTATCTTATTTTTATCAGTTGGCTTACGTACTCTTATGGGCAATTTATAGTTATTGGTTTTGTTTATGTTGGTACTTACTTTTAAATCGCATTCCTACACATACACAAAGCGCTAATCTTGTTTCGTTGAAATCTGTTCAGTCTGATGGCTATTTACAGGACGTGGAGGGCGGCACCGGTGGTGTTGGGCGTGGCAAGGCACGCCTATCGAGTGGGGCTGACTCGAATTTGGATACGCCAATCGATGGCAATGCAGCGACAGCGGCGTGCGGACGACGACGCAACAGCCACGAGAAGGCGATTCTGGCGCGAATCTGGGGCAACTTTGACACGAAGTGAGTAGCAGTCGAGGCATGGCTAAGACTAAGAGTACAAGCTGATCCATCTTACAGATATATGAAGCCGCTGCTGACGCACTCGCGGCCCACTCTGCTGGAGACATTGCCCGTCTGCTGTAATCCCATTGCCAGGCTGCTAACCACCACGCAGCAGTTGACGCAGGTGAGTGAAGAGCTCTTCATACAAAATGCTGGCAGTCAGCGCTTTATTCGAAACATTTGATTTGCAGGATGGCAGCGAGTTTCGACGAGTCGACTCCGACTCGGACATATGCATTGACAACGACACTGGCAATGGGCTCAGCCAGGATGGCCTTGCTGGAGGGCGTCGCAACTCCATAAATCGTGTAAGTATTCGGTACATGGGCGACACTCAAAACCTACTTGCTAGCTACAGAAATCTTGAATGAAGCACCAAAGACTAATACCATGTAGAAAGAGAACTAACTAAACCAAATAATTCTAAAAAACAATAAATCAAGAACAAAGTGAAAAACAACTATACATATATATGTATATATATCTAATAGATATTTTGGCCACGTAGACGCATTGTTATAAACGATGTTTATATCAAATCTAATACTACAAATTACCTAACATCGTATATATATATATATGTATATATAAATGTATATATTGTATATGTACTAAAAACGAGATTGTGATTTATGTTCTTAACTCTTTTATTTAAAAAAATGTTAATTTTTGTAAAACAAACCCAAAGAAACTGAAAAGGTTTTAAAACTGGATTTTTTTTATTTTGTATATCATTATTATTGTGTTATTAATTAAAATGTATCATTATTATATAATTTGTATACGCCAAGCGATTTCTAGTCTTAATGCATATTCTGTTAATATTACATACTATTTAAACTGCATGGCTAACCAAAAACCAATAACCAAAAACAAACAACAAAATATATAAGTACAAAGAAACCAAATGCAAAATGTAACTTTCTCAGCGACAAAATATTAATTTATTTATTTGCTGCGGCATCTTTCTTTCTATATCTTTCCCTCAAATCATCTTAACAAAATAATAAATAAACAACAACTACTACAACAACAACTCATGCGGACTTTTTACCCATTTCTATATATATTCGGTTTAACGGTTACCATCTGCCTCTCCAACTGAAACACTCTCCACACATCTCTCTTAACCAACATATTTAAAAACAACAATAGTCAAATATATTGAATGAAACTAATCACATTGCAAACGAACTCAGCTTGGTTACTAATAATTTTATGTAATCATTTGGAAACAACAACTTAACGAATCAAATCTAATCCCTAATCGAATTTAACACAACAAATTAAACTACTCCGATTAATTTGCTATTGTTATTATTAAAATTATTTACTTTCGATTTGTCAACTTTGAATCTTTTCCTTTTTTTGTTAACTTCTGAAAGACTTGATAACTTTCCGTGATAAGTGAATGTATGTTTCTTGTCGGCCTGTCCGATCGCACAAATATTTGAAATATAATCTGGGAATATAATCTGGGTATATAGTCTGGGTATTCCCTGTCCTCCCCACAAATATTTAAATTGAGGTTGACTGCTTGGCAATTTCTATTAGTGGCACAAGCACAAAATATTGAAGAGGCTTTTTGTATTCTGTAATTATTATTTATATTTATGTATCTCACAATCTTATTTCTTAGAATCTAACATGCGACTAACCATGTAAGTATACAATTATAAGTTCATTATCATTTACTTAATAAAGTATTTATATTGCTTGTTCAATTCAATTATGATTTCACTTCTGATTTTTCGTTTACCACTTTCAAAACTTTCTCTTATAGGTTACAACCGAACATAGGAATGTTCATATCTAAATTGATTTGTTGCTATATACATACACACATATTTATGAAATTGGTCTCATTTAAGATGAAAATTTAATGCGTACAAACTAGATTTTTATTTAAAAACATTTTTTTAGTTGTTAAAAGTTTTGTGATTTGGATTCTAGTTAACAATCTATGAGTTACTTTAATCATAATTTTGTTAAATGTTTAATTTGTATTTGTATTTGTTATAAAAGGATATAAAATACATACTTTTAGCTTAAAGTGTAATTCAATTGAACATATAAAATGGAAAGAAAAAAAGGAAAATAAAAGAACAAAATAAAAAAACTGTAAAATGTTTATGAAAAAAATACTCATAGCTTTATTATATTCCCTCTCTTTTTTAATTGAAATCGCTGCTACATTTTATAACATCTGAAATGAAAACTAATCACTGTATACAAATTTTAAAATATTTATAAAAACAATTCTTCAAAATCGTACCGAAACAACATACACAAATCTCTAGATGGAAATCCTGGAGCATGTTCAAAGCCCGGTATCAACGAGAATCAGGCTATTAGGATTTTATGGCAAGAAGTTATAGGAACTATAGAACTAAATAATAATTTGAATTATTTTTTATTTTTTTTTGGGGTTTTCAGCAAATGTGGTTTATATAATT